AGGGCCGGGCCAAGAGTCATTCTTTCTGCCACACTGATTGTTTCTCAATTCCAAATGGGAACTCATGTGCTCATTGTGCTGTTCCCACAGTTGCCAAAGAAACTAAGGCCTCCTGTTGGGACTCGCAGGGAGTCTGTCATACAGTCCTCTGTCTGCTGCGCAAGGGCCCAGGGTCAGGCACCAGGTGGGACCTCAGTCCTGGCTCCCAACCCACTGTGCTTGGCATAAGCACCTGCCGGGAAAGGGCAAGGTCCTGAGTTCGATCCCAGGCACCGCAAAAAAACCCCCCAAAAACAAAAAAACAAAAACCAACCCACTGTGCTTTCCTGTTTGCGCTTGCCATTCTTTCCAGGCCCTCATGATATTTGGCAGCGTGGAAATGGTACCTGGACCCGAAGCAGCTTGGATCTCAGCCATAGCTGCCTGCCTAGGTTCACCAGTTATTCACAGGCAATAAAAAACCCCACTTTCTCAAGTCAGAGTTCTGGCTGCTTTTGCATCCTTTCCTTTCACCCCACGTTCTTCTACTCTTGAGCCCTTGCTGTCTCTGCTTGCTCCATGGGACAAATGGGGCAACACAAAAACTGATGGGGTCTCTGCTGTGCACTTCAAAACTCACTTAAGTGGCCCCCACACCCATGTTTGTCAGAGTAACGTGGTTCCAAAGGTACCCACATATTATCTTCTAGAACATGTAAGCATATGTTACCTCGCAAGGGACAATTAAGGTTGTAGATGGATTGAAGGGTACTAATCGGTTGAGTTTAACGTAAGATTATGCTGGATTATCGCGGCCAGTGGGATTGCAAGGGTTCAGTAGCACTGGTATGAGAGGGAGGCTGAAAATACAGTGTCCCAGTGAAGCAGCCTGAGAAAAACTAGGCAGGCCATTGTTGACTTTAAATACAAAGGGGAACCTAGGATTCAAGTCAGCTAAAAAGACAAAGAGATTGTTGCCTGAAACCCTGGAAGGAAAACAGCTCTGCTAACCCCTTGGTTTCACTGTAGTGAGAGCTTATCTTTCTGATTGCCAATCTTCAGGACTGTAATTTGTGTCATTTTGAACCTAATATTTATTTTGGGTCTCACCACTCCAGCCACCAATCTCCTTTCCTCTGTTTCACAGGTATGTCTAATTCTTTAACATCATAAACTTCTCTTAATTTTCAAGATTTGAGTACCTTCATACCAAAGTTACTTACTGACAAAGAATTAGTTCTACACAAAGCTGACATATTTTCCTGTTTAGGTCTGATCCGTTTGGTAACTCGCTGTCAATTGAACTAGGAAACATGGTCTTTTACTGGTTAACATTGAACTGAGAATGGCCCTCTTTTAAGATTTTTATTTGTTTTAGCATTATATTTTTGTTAATCAGATTAAGTATTATCATTATTTTTAAGGTTGACCAGTGGATTTTTATGTAACAGAGTTTTAACATTTATTGATTTTTCTACATTACAAACAACTGTTAAGAAATTACACTTGTCAAGTTTTGGCTTTGTGTTAAAGAGAAATATTCCCAATCATCTGAATAGCCTATTAAGTCTCCCTTCCGTTTTCCAAATCTGCGTGTTTGTGGCAGTATGTGCATGGCAGTCCTAGGGATTGACACTAGGGCCTTCATGTTGAACTATATCCCTAGCCCTTTATTTTTTATATTTGAGACAGGATCTGTCTAAGTCACTATATTTCCCCAAGAGGCCTTGAACTTAGAGTCTTGCTGCTCAGCTTCCAGAGTGCTGGGATCACATACTTGTGCCACAGTGTCAGGCTTGATGTTAAGCCAAAACAACGTATTCTAATATACTAAGTACAGAATGTACCTGTCTAATATAAGCCAGACATTATAAAGAGATTTCCTAAAAGTATAGAACAATTCTACTCTTCTTTTTTGGAAAATAAATTTTTCACTAAACTTACATTGTTTATATTTCCATGCAATGGGTCTATTATTTTGAATCTTAAATGGGCCAGGAAATGTTTAAAAGTTTTCTTACTGTTGATTTCTTTTAGGAAAAATATTACTATGTACCACTTAAACTCTCATTGATATACTTTGGAATCTTTTAATTGGGATCCTGAAGTCAAAAATTGCTGCTTTCAGTTATGATTTGTGAACACTACAATGGCTCAACCAAGTATTTTCCTTAAATGAGAGAGTAAATAAAAGACTGACAAAGCTGCTCATCTATATGATGACTACTAGGTACTATTTACTGCCAAAATGGATTCCAAGTCAACAGATTGTAACGGCCATGGTTCTACTCTACAGTGCCATCTGAGTAACCCAGACTTGCCTTTAAAATCTACATTGCAGAAGTAACCCACCAGCATTAATCCTGGAATACAGAAGCAGTTATGGTCACTCACTGTAGGATACCCATCTTTCTTCCCCTAATCCCACTCCATTTCCCACATGTGGTGATGAATGTGCAGACTAGCATGTGCCTTTCCTGTACAACTCACATAATCTCCTGTCCCTCTCACTCACCATACTCATTGACCTATTCTTGTTCATTTAACTTAACTTGCTTCTCAACTGTCCTTCATTTGCTTTGAGAAACCTTTCTGGGTCTTCTGGACTAGGCTGAGCTGAACCCTGTGTATTCTTAAAATGCATTCCTTCTTGTCTACCTGAATTTCAGCACTGTATACTATGGTTTGGACCTTTTATAACTACCCAAAGCCTCCATATCTCTCTTCTTTTTTTACTACATGGTCATGAGGTGATGAGTTTTGTTCTGTTGTGTGCTCCTCACAATGATGTGTTGCCTTACCACAGGCCCAAAAGCAATGAGGCAATTTGATCATATATTTAAATCTCCAAAATTGTGAGC